GTATGCTTAGGCTTGTCTTGGGACATTAAGAGAAATGTGAATACTGACCAATGATCCCTTGGTCTCTATTTTTTCCAAATCAAGGCGGTAGATCCTCGTGTTGGACTGTGTTGTAATAATCTCTAACGTGTTGTTGGAAGTCGCACACCTGAAAGGGTGAAGCCAAAACACAATCAATAACTCTTTTCGTACAGTATCTGTCTTTTTCAAAATGGCAGCCTTGAACTGTCACGTGGGAACAGGATTGTCACCGACCCTTGGTTCAGGATGGGCGTGGAAACTTGAAAGTCCTCCGTCTCAGACTCTACACACTTGCTCACGATCAGCTCGGCTCGCTCAATGGAGCAGTTTGACATCACATGCAGGTCTATCTGGTTGATCTTGGACCCGATGGGCGGACTGCCAGTGGACGTCGTGTTAGCGGAGACAGCGGGGGTGGTGTTGCTCTCTGATGGTGACCTCACCTGTCGTCGCGATCGTGGTGACGATCTGAGGATGGTGCGCATTTTGGGAGAGCGTGTGAAATTTGCCATGGGTCCCTCTCCTGGGAGGTAAATCTGGATCTCAAAGCTGTATTCACCAAAGACCTCCTTGTCTGAGGGCATGACGATCTCGTAGTGTGGTCCCTTCACCTGGGATCCAGGGATCCGGCAGGCCAGAGGGAGGATGAGTACAGGCTTTCGGCTGACCATAGTGTAGGGACGCACACTTTGCAAGGTGTTGGTGTAAACCAGCTCTGATCCAGCGTGCTAGAAAACAAGAGAGGATGAGGATGTGTATGGCTGGAATATATATCCCGACGCCAGTGTAGTAAGAATCAGTGAGTAAGAATCAACACCAGCGTGTAAAGCTAAAATGTTTCAGTGCTCCCTCCGGTCTGCTTCACGTCAGGTGTGGGCACAAGTTCAGCTACACGGTGTTCAGTGTGCCTGCACAGCAAGAGGTTCAACCACTTGAGGTCAGCAAAGACAAGCTTCTCATGTGGCGTGAAGTTAGTCACTTAATACTGCAACTGGTTTCTTATGAATAGGGATAGAAGAAAGAAAGAAGTGCAGGGGGTGGGGCATGTTACCACAGTCTTGGTGCCGCAGCCGCTCAGGGAGATGCGTGCAGTCAGGTGAGTGGTGTTGTAGGAGACCGGACACGAGGGGCTGTTGAGCTGCAGCTCATCCATGTTGATGTTGGTCAGGGAGGCGATGGGAAGCACCAGAGTCATTTCTGTCTTCTCACACTTGAGCTCTGCAGGCAGACACCAGCCGATCCTGAGTTTATTAACAGAGTCTCACAGTCACACAGATATAATCAGTGCACTCTGCATCTGAATCACACACTCAACACTGAAATAACACAAAGAGGAACCTGTTCCAGCAGGTAGCGTCTTCATTTCCCCTGAGGAAGAGATGAGAGGGAATATTTTAACAGTTGATAGATTCCTGTATTTTCTGTGAGGTGTGAGTGGAGCGACAGTAAAGCATGACTGGCTTTTTTATGATGTTTCAACCAAACTGAAGGACTCACTTTGGTACAACCACACACATCTGGGCTCCGACTGCAAACTGGAGAAGACAATAAGTACAAATCAACCAAAACAAACCATCAAACAAACTAGAATGACCTCCACCAACCAGTGCACTCACCATGTACACACTTCAATACACACACACACACACACAATTTACATCTGTACATCTGCTCATGCTGCGTCAGTGTGTGAATCAACCACCTCTTGGTATTTGCAGCAAAGCAGACGGGCAACAGCGGCGCCAGTTTGTTTTCGGAGCGGACCCAGGCCATGGCCATCGTCGACAAGGGGCCGACAGATTTGAAGCCAACCCTGAAAAGTGCAGGCGGACCAACCACTGCCATCTCTGAGACGCTGAAATCATAGAGAGGACACATTTCAACTCGCACAAAATACAGATCCAGTTGTTTTAATGAAGACACCGTTTACACAAATTACACACACAGATCATTGTGTTGTTACCGTAGCTGCCACATTCACACACTAACAACACAACGAGAGAAAATAGTAAAAACAGATTCTGACTTGGGAGTGCAGTATTATCACTCGTGCTGCCATCGCACCAGATAAACCTGAGTTAGCTGCTTTTGTTGCGGGAAAAATAATAAACGTATTAATTTCTTTCTTTAAGTTCTTCAGTTTCAGCTTCTAAGATGTGAGGTCGTTCTGGTCTCTGTTGTTTATTAGACAAACTAATTATTGGCAGAATCATCCACAGTAAGAATAATTATTACTTGCAGTCGTAGTGAAGTGGAGCCAGAAATGTCATGTTGAGCAACGACGTTCCATAAAATGTTGGCGCTGTATTTTTGTTATGTGCAAGCAGAGACAACAGGTGAAGTTAAAAGGCTCCGCAGGACGCACCTCTCCAGCACTGACATGTAGTGGATGTTGAACTTCACCTCCTGGAACGGCAGGACATACAGCGTGGAGTCCATTTCAGGGGTGTCGTCTGATGCCACTGGTTCATCGCTGCAGCGGGTTAATGACTCCTCCACTGGATGTGAGGAGAATAAGAGACATTTGTGAAACTCCAAATGATAACAGGAGGAAAAAAGGAGGGGAAAGGGGCCAAAATTGATATTTCAATTGTACAAATCGGAGAAAGGATAAGGAGAAAACTACTTGAAATCAGAAAGCAAAGCTGAAAACAAATCTCAGGCAAAGGAAAAGATCAAAAGTGAAAATGAAAGAAAGAAAGTCTAAATATTCCTGCGTGTCTTCACCTACTGACACTATTCTGGCAACAATTTCTGATTCTTCAACTATCAAACTGGACATGCAGAGAATCTTCATCGTGTCAAACATCTCAGTTTTCTGTCAGATGTCACGCGTCACCGTCCGTGTTTAGAAATGTGACGTTCAATGAAAATGAGCTTTCTTAGATTCTGTTGTTTATCTGTATTTGTAGCATCTCCTCTGTATTTGTTTCTGTTACATGTCTACTCTTACACTCGTATACAACCTGTATTGAAGATTGTTTTAAGTTTGGGTGCAGGTTTCACTCAAGTCGTTTCTGACAAGAGAACTTGTATCTGACCGACCGACCTGTGAGAGAGAGGTGCACAGGGACGGAGCTGAGGGGAGTGTTGTCCTTGATGTGGATGTTTTTAGGCACAGGAATCAGGTCCTCGGCCATCAGGTAGATGAAATACGTTCCCGCCGCTGCTTTTCCAGTGAACGTCAACATGCACTTCTCCTGGTGAAAACACACCAACAGAATATTATCACGCCAAGTTTTCACTGAGCAGAGAACTGTCGGCCGCTGGCGGTTGTTGAAGTTCTACTTCCACCAAGGAGGTTTCAGACCTGTCCGTTATTCGTTTGTTGGCAACAAAAACCAGGAAACGTGATGCTGTACGGGTCAGAGAAGAGCCCATTAAATAATGATGCTTTTATCACTTTATGCAACATTGCATTTTTTGACATTTCCAATGATTTCCCAATGTTTAAAAATGTAGGTAAAAGGGATTCAGTGGCATAAATTGAATATAAAATAATCCTAGTGATGTTTTCACGAGTGTGTTTCATGTAAATTGTACAATATATTATTTATTTTAGTGTAAAAGAACTCTGCACGGTAGATAAGGCTGGAAAATCACAATGTAAAATGCAAACTCCATCACAACATATGTACAAAGTGGAATTCTGAGTCGTAATGAAAATGATAAGCTGAACAAAAGATAATTATCTGCACGACTTTCATGAAAAACTTTCTACGTTTGAGTTTCTCTTTGCAGCCGTTGAGTCGATCGAAGTTCAAAGATTTGGAATTTGTGGAGTGGAAGGCTCCCTGTGGTTCAGCGGAACTTAAAGTCTTCACACGGGAGTAAAGAAGAAGAAGTTGGAATGGAAAATATGATCATGATGCAGCCGGCTGCTGTTTGTTGTCTTAAGCTATAAATCTTAGGCTGATGACTGCTCACGAGCCCTCGCCTAACAATCCGGAATTCCTCCGACCTGCAACCAACGATGGCCGATCTTTTTCTCTGTCATTACTGAGACCGCTTCGTGCATTGCGTTCTCTTGAGGTAAGGACACTCAACGTGGCTACGTAGCCTTTAACTTCGAAAAACAGTCAACAAAGATCATTTATCAATGTACTGCAGTCACATGGAATCCTGAGGTACTCGCACTCACGTAACTATTTCATTTTTATGCTGCAACACTGCAACAGCGACCCCTGCAGGCACACATGGTATCTTATCTATGTCTTTCCATCGGATCTACAGTTCTACTGTTCAACGTGCCGGACCTGATTCTGACAGTTGAAGCTGCGACTCTCACTCGGCCACACTCCTCACAGGAGATCGTCCTCAGGAGGAGGTTGAGCTCACCTCATCCAGCTCCATGAAGGAGTGCCGGGGGCAGCTGACACACTCTCCCTGGTCGGTCTGGGCGAAGCGGCATCGCACCCTGTCCCCGTCCAGGTCTTTCACGGACAGATGGAAGTGGTGAGGGCAGTCCACACGGGCCCTGATCCCATTGCACATTAAGAATCAGTAACAAAGAGATAATCAGCTCCTGGAAATCACAAATGCGTGCGGAGCAAAGGAGAAAACAAAAGTAGAGGAAGTAAATCTGCAAAGTGTCATATTTTACGGTAATCGTTCGGGGACCAGAAACTTCCTGGAGTCTCTGTTTGTCTCTATGCACATAGTCCAACACATAAAACCTTATTGTCAGTAGATTGGGGGGTTTTGAGCTTCAGAGGTGTATGAAGGCAGATTCAGTTATATTAAACCAGACTGCAGCTGTTTCCTCTCCTGCAGTCTGGCTAAGTTGCTGGATGTAGCTTCATTTTTACCACCGAGACACACGAGCATCATTAATTGTCCCATCAAAATTAATTCTCTGTAAGAAAGTGAATGGTTGTATTTCCCCAAACGTCGCATCAGGCCTGATTTTCCTCTTTTGACTTCATCTCAGAGTCACTGCTGTGCTTATTCATGTAAAATTACCTTAGTGGAGGAGGAAGAGCGACAAAAGCTGGATGATTGAGTCTCCTGCTGTTTTCCCGAACCTTCGGCCCGGCTCTCAGTGACACATACAATTCTGTGCTGGACCTAAACATTGAGTGGAAAACACGTGTAAGAGGAACTGAAACTGATTTCACTCAAGGTTCCATCATCAGTGAAAGTTTGAGCGTCACAGTTAAATTCAGGATAACAACAGAAATATTAAAGAAGTCAAGTTACTTTGATGCACGAGAAACAAACCAAGAGAAACTAAGATACAAGTGTTTTCCTCAATATCTTGATTTACAACAACAAGATTTTACAATCAACAACATGAGTTTACAGACCAAAGATACTGATAAATGATTCCACATGATTTTCATCTGTTTGAGTCACAAGTTCAGATGTTCAGGTCTCGTACCCTAAGCTGATGGAGCCAGTGTAATTACTGGGGACATTTCTCTGCCACTGGCGGACGCACCAGCCGGGCGTGGGTTTGGTGCCGTTGAAAGGCAAAGAGGTCGTGTGGACCAGACAGTCCTCGCCTTCAGCGCACAGGCCCGTCAGATCTGGACAGGGAGTGGGAGCGATGGCGGTGAAATGTGCTCTCACCTGCAGGGAGCACAGGGACAAGACAGAACTCTCTTTCATGAGTTTTTCTAACTGAGCTGAGGACAGAAGAACAGGCTGAGGGCAGCTGCTCCCAAACAAACCAAACACATTTGCTCTTGTAATTATCTCATCCACTCAGAGTTATAACGCTCGTTTAGTTGTGCGATGATTCTGACAACAAAAAGAACAAAAACTTAAAAATAAAGAGTTGAGTTACATCGTGGCTCCGTGGAAGTTAATGAAAATATAACAAAGTGAAATGAACACTCGAACAATTAAATAAATTACAATAACTTCTATGCTCAGTTAAATTTGACCAAAATAAATAAATTAAAGACTAAAAGTTGCTTTTCGAGTTAAATAGGCAAAGACCCTCTTAATAAACTAAGAAATGCTATGAAGTGGTTTCTGGGATATAAAGAGTTTAATAACCCGAAGACAAATAAACAGGTTGTCACCATTAGACAATTCACCAATAAGGTTATTTTAAGGTGTATAGAGTTTGTAGTGAAATAAAACAACGATGGAAATTTAAGAAAAAGGTTTTGACACAATTTCAAACCACAGAGATAAAATCCACATAAAGCTGAGGGGGATTTTAAATTCTTTAAAATGTTTAATTTAAATTCTCTGTGACTGTCAAACAGTGGAAAAGCAATTTGTGTGTTTCCCACTTTACCTCAGATGGCAACAGAAAACACCATCGGCCAGTGCGACACAGTTTGGACTCGGAAAATCGTTTTAGCTGAGAGAAAGTTTGCCCACCGTGTTCCCTCCATCACTGTCCAGGGGCACAGCGTGGACGGTCAACCCCAGAGAAGAGGCCTCGCAGGCAGGGCCCAGCAGGAGCAGAGTCAGGCCCTGCACGAGGACGCAGAGTCTTAATCTGGGAAGCATCTCGGCTGCTCGGTCAGACCGGATGTCAGAACCTTCAGGACGGACAAAGACAGGAGGGTTGAGCAGCCAGGACACTGTCACTGAGCAGACACCTGAGATTCGTCTCACAGCGTCTCGTGTGTTGCTTAAAAGACGTTCTGGGTTTTGACACTTTGGAGACATGGATCCTGTTTGACGACAGCGATGGAACCGCTCTGTTGTTCGTTTGCAGAAAAATACCTGGTGTGACAGAACTATACTCTTTCCAGGGTGTGGCAGTATGTAAGTATGACAGGTACGATTACATGTGCTCCTTTAACATGACACACAGACGCACAGAGCCTGACACGCAGAATCTGAAACAACAAACATGAACACGATATTTTAAGAAATATTCAAAGTAGACGAAGTCACAACTCATTAAATAATCAAGGATTACACGTTACATACGACAGCACAAACATGATACTTATACCCGTATACCCTGCTGTATATACCTGAAACAGGTCATCCTATATACCACATTCAAACAGCGCTAACTTT